AAATCAGAAATTTCAAAAAATTGGACTAAAGCCAATAGTACGTCAATTTTTTTGACCTATATCTTAATGCCCCATAATTAAAAGGGTTTTCTTAAGTTTGTATATTTTAGGGAAATATGTATCGTTCCATCGGAAGCGTATCTCCTTTCAATTGCTCTGAGTAGAAGTGATATAGGTTGTATTAGTAGTCGCAATTCCTAGTGTAGATTGACGCACTTAATCCCTTATGGTATGATGAATTAAGTTTTTTCTCTCAGGGCAGTAATGCTTTTATTTTATGAACGCAATTCATCACTTTCTCTTGGAAAAAAACCACCGAATTGTGACACAAGCATTTTGGGAGTGTGGATTCCATTTTATTAATCAATGTGAAAACAAATCATTTGGTTAAATGGATAAGACATTTCATCACTCCAAGAAACCCTGAAATTTAGATTTTTGGACTTTAACAAATCACAGGGAACCTAAATAACCAAATACCTGAGCCCTAGTTAATGTTTCTGCTATTTTAAGACAAAATAGGCAATCTACCCAATGCAATAACCCATCACCTCTAAAAATAAAATACAATATCAAACATTCCAAACAATATCAAATTAGATTGCTCCCCCACCTCCCATTCTCTGCTCCTATACCAACCTTTCACATAAAGTAATCAATTTAAATATATACTGAAGTTGTGTGGTGGGAGAGGGAGATCATATCCCGCTTTAGTGTATGCATTACTAAGATACTGTCTCTTATTGTCTCATAATCACCATACAAATTAACAAAGCTACACACACGTATATATACAATATCTTCAAAACATTTTACTTTCATACATCATCTATTATTTTATTTGAACAGAATACTTTCGTTATATTTTTCATTCATTGATCCGATAAGAGCTGACGTGACTACCACAGTTGTGTCACGTAACTACCAAATTTATGTCACGTGGTAAAAAAATATTTATTTATTTATTTAAAAATAATTAATTAAAGAAAAGTTATTAAAAAAAATAACCCATAACCCATCTTTTTCCCCGAAACCCCCCCTTCCCTGCAACCTAAACCCCCCATCCCACCCCACCCCCACCCCCCACCCAAAACCCCAAAATCAAAAGGGGGAATTGAATTCCCGAGACGAAATGAGGGAGTAGGGGTTTTGGGAAGGGCAAAGTAAAGGGAATTCTAGAGAGAGAGAGTGAGTGAGTGAGTGAGTGAAGAGAAGTGGACTGAGAAGGAGAAAACAGCTACAAGACCCGACCCGTCTTCTTCTCCTTGTCTCCGTGGGGGCACCTCTGTGTGTCTTCTGCAACTCTCGCTTCCAAAAAACCCAGCTGGGTTTTTTTAGGATTTTCGGTGGGGTGGGTTGCGGTGGAGAGGGGTGGGCTGGGGTGGGGGGGGTTGTGGGGAGGTGGGGATGGGGTGGGGTGGGGGTTGCGGGGGAGGTGGGGGTGGGGGTGGGGTGGGATGGGCGGTTTAGGTTGCAGGGAAGGGGGGTCTGGGGGAATAAGATGGGTTTTGGGGTTTTTTTTTTTTTTCATTTTCTTTAATTAATTATTTTTAAATGAATAAAAAATTATTTTTTGTCATGTGTCATAAATTTGGCAACCACATGACACAACTATAGCAGTCACGTCAGCTTTTAACGGATCAATGGATGTAAAATGTAACGAATGTACTATATTGAAATAAAATAGTAGACGATGTATGAAAGTGAAATGTTTTGAAGATTTTGTATGCAATTGTAATAAATCTCAAACCTGAAATGGTAAAGTGTAATTTACCCAATATATTTTGTGTAGAAACAAAGGATTTTGTATCAATAACGTGGACACTTGCTTTGATACGTTGATTACTAGTATACTTTCTACTAATTGTAAATGTTTTATCAATATTTTTTATCGACAATCTATTTTATAATAAAGAACATATATCCTTTCCAAAAAAAAATTTGTATGCACCAACCAAAAATATAAAATATGTCAAATGGGAGGTGTGGAAAGGATGGGAAGAGCAGAGATTCCACTTCTTAAAATGGGAGAAGGGGATGGGACAATTTATCCTTGACCATGAGGACTCTCACTATCTTGTGCCATTCTTTGCTTCCATACCATCTCTTCTAACCCAAATATCAATTTTTGGAAGAGAGCTATTCAAATATTGAACAGAACAAAAATATATTGTGTAGACAAGAAACCATTACTACCACCAATAAAATCCAAATTCCATTCAATTGTTGCCCTCCTTTTGCTTGCATCACCACCATCAGACATTGTCTCCAAATTATTAATTTACTCGTAAATTCATGCATTATAAGATCCCAAAAATAACAACAAAAGAACCCATTTATGAATTATAATCTTCTTCTCTCTCTCTCTCTCTCTCACTCATAGAGGACAGTACATACATGAGGGGTTGGCTTGGTGACAAGAATCCACAGAGAAAATTATGGAGATGGCAATGTCCGTCACTATCAAATGTTTGGCTATTTGCTGTAACTAAAATTTACACATGACATTTACTGCATGGCGTTAATGAGACGACGGTTTCTACTAAAAAGAAACGGGCGGTCAAAGGGACGGTACAATGTTTCTGTCAAAATTTCCTTTGTGTCAGGGTGGGGAAATAAAACCACTGATAGCTCCTTTTGGTCATCATGTTCTGCACACAAAAACAGTGGAAGAGAGAGAGAGAGAGAGAGAGAGAGAGAGAGAGAGAGCTCGAAGCCTCAAGCACTTCAACTTTGCACTGCGCTTGTTCTTTTAATCTATGATCTGAATTCTCTAACTAACTGAGACTGATCTGATCGAGATACAAAGGGAGGAAGAGGATCCTCTCCGGATCCACATTATGGGGATTTTAGGGATTTTCACATCCTAACTGTTCATCGTACATCGTGCGGTCTGTTTTCATCAGATACTATTTGTATTTAATTTTAAAAAGAAACTTTAACGAAAAACTCTCAATACTAGTTACTTTAACGAAAAACCACATTTTTATACTAAAAGTCAATCCTGGTACTATTCACTTTACCATTTATTTTGTCTTTATTGTTAAAATTCAAAGTTTTCAAACTCTTTTCATTAGTTTTCCTTTTTAAAAATCTAACACTCTTTACTAAAGTTAAAAAATTATAAAGGCTTAATTGGATTAATAGTCCCCGTGGTGATAGGGTAGTTGGAAGATAGCTCATGTGGTAAAAAAATTAGGATTTAAGCCCCTGTGGTAAAGTTTGTTATGATTTATGCCTAAAATTGAAAGTTCCGTCAACTTTCTGTTAATTATTAGCACGTGAGCTAACCCCACACGTTAACAATTAATGGAGAAGTCCGTTTTAGCCTAATATGTGTATGGAGAGTTTTGTTTTAGCCTAATATGTGCGGCTCACGTGCTACTAATTAACAAAAATTTGACGGAATTTTTAATTTAGTGCATAAATTCTAACAGACTTTACCACATTGACTTAAATCCTAGTTTTTTTCACCACATGAGTTATCTTCTAACTACCCTATCACCACGGAAACTATTAATCCAATTAGACCAATTATAAAATATTCAATTTGAAACGTTGAAAGCGTCAAACTCAAAAGTGCGAAAATTGTTACCGTCAACATTTTTATGTAACATGGTTCGTCTCAGCGATGAGATCGAGTACTGTTCTTAAACTGGTTCCAACTTTTCCACCTTATCTGCAAAGCTTGGTAATGGCCATCCCTCTAATAATTGTAAAAGTGACATTATGAAGTAACGGAAGGTAAGTACTGTTACAAGCTGCAACTCTGTACGTGTATTATGGACTAAGGTTTCTCGAACGGAAAAGGATCCTCTGTGGATCCTCTTTGCGGGGATCCGGGGGATCCATCAATCACAACCGTTCATCATATATCATGCGGTTAGTTTTCATTATATACTATTTATATTCAATTTTAAAATTTAAATTTAAAATAATTTATGACCGCACGATGTACGATAAACTGTCATGATTGATTGATCTTTCGGATCCCTACAAAGAAGATCCGAAGAGGATCCTTATCCTACTCAAACCCTAATAGCTCTTGCGTCCACTGTTTTGACTACATGTACAATATCTCTATCGGACTCTAGCAGCTATAATATATATAAATATATAGCACACTAGCTACAAGTCAGCATGCATATTGTACCTAATGAGTGTGAATCCCACGTCGGAAAAGTAAAAAACTTTGTATGTGCCTATAAAGAGTTGGATCACTCCCTACTCGTTGGTTATTGTAGAATTTCAACTTCCTTAATAGTTAAAGAAGGTTAACTCATGTGTTGAGCCAAATGGCCTATGTGCTCTCACACCACCTAATATATATATGTATTGTTCATGTGTTTGACTTAAATGATTGCACATTTGATGAGGTCATTGTTGAGAGTGTGAATCCCATATCAATTAACTAAAAGACCTTGCATGTGCTTATAAATAGCTAATTTACGTACTACTCATATGACCAGTTTATTTTACAACAAGGGGTGTGATATTCACACACATTTTTTTACTTCTCACAAAACCTTCTAATTTTGGTCGTTGAATCAGATGAATTGAAGAAAATCAAATGACAAAAATTAACAAGAGTTTTGTGAGAAGTAAAAATAGAATGTGTAGATATCACACCCTTTACGATAAAATGCAAACTTCCTTCAGCTTCACATTTCGAAATAAGTGTGTCAGAAGTCAGATAAACGATACTGAAACTACTCATGATGTAGTTTGATGAGAATAATAAGGTTTGGTCGTTTCTCTAATAGTTCATCATAATTTGAATGAGGTAATAATTAATACTGCTCATGAGATGGGATGGTAGTTTTTGAATCAAGGGGTAGAAATCAAGACCGTCGGGAACCGGGAAGAAATACAAGGTGGGGCCTCAGGGAAACATTTTGGTAAAAGTAACCAAAGAAAAAATTATTTCACTTCAGTCTTTCACACTACTCAGAGAGAGAGAGAAGAGTATATAAAGGGGGATAGGACGTTGGGGTTTTGCTTCTCTTGAAGATAGGTAAAGATTGGAAGAGAGAGAGAAAGGAAGAAGGTAATTAAGGAAAACATTTGAGAGATATGGACGAACATCTGAACCCCTTCGCTGTGACTCATCTGCTTCAACACACCCTGAGAAGCTTGTGCAATCACGAAAACTCTCAGTGGATTTATGCAGTCTTCTGGAGGATCCTCCCTAGAAACTATCCACCGCCCAAGTAAGCAGACCAAAATACTGAAAATGTTTCCAAAATAATTACAGAAAAATGGTTTTTTTTCGTACTTTTTCTTACAGTTCCCACTTAGTTAGTATATTAAAATTGATATTTTAGTTAATAATTTTGGTTTTATAACAGATGGGAAGGTCATGGAGCTTATGATAGGTCAAGAGGAAACAGAAGGAACTGGTATATATTAATTTAATCAAATTTTTTAATTTAGTTTGATAGTATAAAATAGACTCATAGCTAGGTTTATATATGTGTACATGCAGGATATTGGTTTGGGAAGATGGATTCTGCAACTTTGGTGCCTCCTCACCGGCTCATGATCAGATCAACTCCAGTTCTGATCAGTGCCCTGCGGGACCTTCATCAATGTATAGCAACTTAAGCGATCAATTTCAACAATACAATGGCCTGCAACCTGATCTTTTCTTCAAGATGTCCCATGAGATCTACAACTATGGAGAAGGGTAATTAACCTAGTTATGAAGAAACATATATATATATATATATATATATATATGATTAATTAATTAACCAATTAAATATTGGACTAGTTTTAATTTTGTTTTTCTCTGGGTGTACCTGATTACTGATCTCTGACAATACTAATTAATCAACTGGTGATTGTTGTTATATAGGTTGATCGGGAAAGTGGCGGCAGATCATGGTCATAAGTGGATACACAAAGAACCAAATGATCAAGAAATCAACTTCTTATCAGGATGGCATAACTCAGCAGACATGGTATATAAATATAATACGAAATTTATTAATTAATTTAACTGCTCCTGATCAATGGTTCTATGTATGATTCAGTTTGTCATTTCATGCGGCATATACTAATTAATTACATCCAAAATTTTTATATAACTACACCCTCGATCCCCAGTTTTGCTTCAATACAATTTGTCTGTACATGTCATTAGGTTTTTAATTTTTACTTTTTTTGCCTCAGCACCCTAGAACATGGGAAGCCCAATTCCAGTCTGGCATAAAGGTACTTAATTAAGCATTTTTAAACCCCACATCACAAAAATTCCAAAATCTTTTTATAATAATTTTGTTTCTAAATGTTTGATTTGATTTTGATTAAAATATCCTGCAGACCATAGCCCTGATAGCAGTTAGAGAAGGTGTCGTTCAGTTAGGAGCTGTTCACAAGGTGAGGCTCTGGACTCTCTCTCTCTCTCTCTCTCAAGTACTATTGAATGCTATTGAATGTTTGTTTTTTTATAGGAAACGATATTCTCTCTCTAAACTAAAGCAACTGTACATAAATTGATTCAAAACGACATCATGAGATATACTTTAACCGTACATCAAAGACTGCAAAATATTATTGCATGTTTGCAAATCCTGCAGGTGATTGAAGACTTGAGCTATGTAGTTCTGCTAAGAAAGAAGTTCAGCTACATCGAAAGCATCCCCGGAGTGCTTCTCCCTCACCCATCATCTCCATCCTTCCCCTTCAAGCCTGATCGTCATCATGGCTATGCATACGGTCCCACCCCAGATTATCATCATCATCCTCAACATGCATGGCATTTCCAAGGTGGCACAAACCCTCTTGCACCACCTCCAACTCATGACTTCATGTATGATCATCCCCAATATCTCGACCCTAGTCAAGTAGTTCCACTGAAAAACATAACCCCCTCTATGAGCAGCCTTGAAGCCCTCCTCTCTAAGCTTCCCTCCGTCGTGCCGACGAATGACGATCATCATCATCATCATCTACAGCCGCACGATCAATCCCAGTTTGTGTTATCTCATGGACCTGTGGACTTCATGGCAATGACCAAGCAGAAAGCGGCCAAGCAGGAGACTACTGATCATGATGACGGTCATGACCGTAACGAAGAATATAGGCCGTCGGATTACCAAAACGTCGGTGAAACCAGCAATTCTATGTCTGCTTATTCTCGTCAACAGCAACAGCATTTCCATCACGACTAATTATTAATTAAGCAAGTACTAGTAGTTTTTAATTGCTTTTATTTGGTCGTCAGCATAATTTATATATAGGAATGCAGATTGATTATTTCTAACATTGTTAATTAGCAAGCTCTCATATATATATAATCCTATTATTACACTATAATGTAAGGGTGATCTTGATCTTATGAATAAGGGAGTATTTCAGTTCGCCACCCTACTTTACACCGTTAGATGAGTTTAAATTTTGAGATCAGTATAAGAGATAGCCACAAATCTCAAAACTTAAACACATCCAATGTTACAATTAGAGTAGTAAGCATTATCGCCACTTGAGGAGATGAGCAAAAATGCACCCAATGAATAATGCACTTGTTTAATTACTTCGTCTGTGGACGAGTCAAAGGCTCGCAGAAAATAGGACAACTGCAAACGGCAAGAGGATGTATACATTTGATGAAGAGAGCTGAGTTGTGGGAACAGAAACTTTATAAATAAATAAAAATTGAAAACAAATATGGGCAGTACAGCTGATGGAAAGGATCGTTAGAACAATGGTAAAACAACAAACGCATTCATAGTATTCTAAATTCCTGAAGTCACCCACCATCAATCTTAATCTTAAATAAGAAAATTAAAAAGCAAATCTTTCTAATGGAACGCTTCAACTTCGGCCTTGAAGTGCTGGAGTAGATTGTCCATGGTCATTACGGTGACATCTCCCTTGTCTCTCACCCGTAAGCTCACCTGGAACAATGCGAATCAAAGATTAGCTTCTCAACAGAATAGCAGAAGTTCAGCATAACTAACACCAGATAATGAGGTGACCCGTGACCCGTGTTGTTTGATGCTCTCGAAGTAAATTTTTTCAGTTCTGTTTATCATGTAAATTAACCAAAACAGACCGGTCGAAGGATAACTTAAATAATCTAGAGAAATAGAAATGAAGAGAACCTGTCCACTCTTGACTTCTTCCTCGCCCACAACTAAAATGTAGTTGTACTGTGCTATCTGAGCTTCTCGTACCTGCAGAGACAAACAGTCAGGCAACAAAAAACAATCCATTGAACCAATCCTGTTTTCACCAGAGTTGGCCGAGTTTATGAGATGTGAGAGAGCCAGCTCCCACTACGGAACTACTAATAAGCCCAACGGACGTCCAATAACCCGTAAAAATACAAACAAAACGAGACCAAAAAAGTCAAGCTTGGTGCAGAGGACAACAGTATGAATTCTACCTTTTTCTGAATGGTTCTATCAGTAGTGTCAACATCAACATAATAACCAGCTTGATGGATACGATCCCGAACCTACAAAATTGCAACAGTTTTTATACGCAATATAATATAAAATAATTTAAACCGCCGTGAATCTCACTCGAGCATTTTATACTACCCATAGCATGATGCATTTAAAGATAAATTGAACTTAAAAACTGAGCAGTATACCCAGGCCTGGTTTGGTACTGAGGTGATTCTGAAAAAAGCTGGTATAAAAAAAAGCTGAGAGTTGTTTTTGTGTTTGGTAAACATTCAGCTTCAGTTTTTTTTCACAGTTTTGGGTGAAAAAAAACAAAAAACAAGAAGCTGCAAAACCCAGCTTTGAAAAACCGGTTTTTTTTCACATCTGTTTTACATAAAAGTTTACCAAACACTATAATACTGCCTTTTTTTTTTTTTTCAAAAGCACTTTTACAAAAAAATTTACCAAACACTCTGCTGTTTTATTTCACAGCTGCTTATTCTCACAGCACAGCAGAAACAACTTTTTTTCAAAGCACAGCAATACCAAACCAGCCCTCAGTTTCATCAACTATCAAAACCAGCAAGTGTATGTACATCATCAACTGCATTTATATAGATCTAAGATCCAGAAGGGGAACAGAAAAAAGTTCATAGAACCTTATAGTGGTCAACCAATAACCAGAAAAGCACTAACATACTACCTCCAGAGCATAAGGTTGGGATTTGTCCGAGACAGGGCAAACAATTGCCTGACGTGGACTAAGCCAGAAGGGCCATTTCCCTTTGTAGTTCTCCAACAGTATAGCAAACATACGCTCAACGGAGCCTAAAACAGCTCTGTGTATCATAACAGGTCTCTCCAACTTGCCTTCTTCCCCCTCTGCAGAGTAATTCAGCTCGAATTTTTGTGGAAGCTGAAAATCAAGCTGCAACGAGAATATTGTTTCAATGATAGCTAGATAGTTACATAGGAGGAACAACAAGAAGAAAAACTGAAAGCGGTGTAACCATCAAAGAATTGATCATTAGTACCTGTAGTGTTGCGCACTGGTATTTTCTGCTCAGTGCATCAGATACACTGATATCTATTTTTGGTCCATAAAATGCACCATCCCCTTCATTTATCTGTGTAGCAAGACTAACAATGTAAGCATTCAGACAAAGGCAAGAAATTCAGGGGCCCCTAACACACAGCTAAAGAAAACAAAGCACAGATAATGGACCAGATTGGCAACTAAGCAATAACAGAAAGAACTCAGTTCAATTTATGTCAATGGTAAAATGGTGGAGTAGAAAATGGCTTAATGAGTCAAATCTATCCATTCAATACAACGTTCCAGCGAAACAAATTTTGCTTTATTAAAATATGCTGCTCAGCTGCAATGAGGTTTGAACTAGGTTCGACTGCACTAAAAAAGAAATATAACCACCCTGGCTCCACCTACAATGAAGATTGTATAAACTTTATGTTCATACTGCATAAGGTGCCAAAGGAGGAGTTCACTATATGTTTGAGGGAGTAAAATTCTCTCCCCTCCTCTCATAGTTTTTTTTTTTTTTTTTTTTTTTTTTTTTCTCTGAAAAAAATCAATACAAGATGTTGACGTGACTTAATCGTAACTGTTTAAATAGGAGGGGAGGGAAAGGGAGAGAATCCTCCACCATGTTTGAGAGCGACTAAAGCACAAGGTAAAAGTACCTGCCAAGGCTTGCCAAACTCATTTAATGCATCTGCAAGAGCAGCCTCAGCTTTCTCCCATGTTGCCAGATCTCCCATGTGTTTTTCTGGCATCTGCAACATAAGTACAAGATGTTGTACAACACAACAAATTTGAATCTGCATCCTTAAGTGATGAAGTCAAGAGGTTTGAAGCTTTAAGCACAGGTAATAAGAATCTTACTGTTGATAGCTTCAGGTCGAAAGAAAAGCCAAAAATGTTATAAGTATACTGGATGAAATCTAGGACACGCTTTACTTCATCTTTCACCTGACAACAGAAGCACCAAAAACCAAAAGTCTTAAGAACGAAACAAAACAAAAAAATAAAAAAAAAAAGGTCAAGTTGTAAACAGTAGGTACAATTTAATTAAGCTCAACTCACTTGGGACTCCCTGCAAAAGATATGGGCATCATCCTGTTGGATATTACTAAAACATGTCAGAAGAGTATATATAATCAGAAAATTAATAGAAGAGAACTGACGAAAAATATAAATCTTCCGATAATAAAGTGCATCATTAGGGGCACTGGCAAGCATAAAAGAAATATGAACTCCTATTCCTAATGAACTAACAAATCTGAAGCCAGGATAATCTAAAATGTTTATTTGTTTACAAAGCAGGTTCAGGATGAACATGAGACACCTAAATTAACAGCTAGGTTAAGCTAAAACCAAGGCATTGAAAGTATACCTGCTGGAATCTCCGTACGCGTGTTAATCCAGTCAGTGCACCACTGGCCTCATTGCGATGCAAAACACCAAAATCAGCCAGTCTAAGTGGAAGTTCTGTCATCAAGGTTTAAAAAAAAGACAGATGAAAATGCGTATGGTGCAAAAATGTCACATAAAGTAGCAAATTCTAGTACTCAGAAGCAAAGCATGGGCTATCACAACTTTAACAAGGTAAAAAAATACCAAGCACCCGCATCCCAATAAAAACTTTAATAGTCATGTTACATTAAGAAATAACCAGAAAAATGCAACATAGAAACAACTCATACCGAGAGACTCAAGCCAAAAGTAACAACTCAAAATTATACTGAACTCAATCATGTAAACTAATGACTTTCTTGCTGAACTGGAAATATTTTAGAGACTAAAAAAGCGTACAACACAAAATGTACAAGAGATCTGTCCAAATAAAGAAAGACAAGAACATCCAAAAAGAAACAAGAAAACTGCTCAAGAAGCCAACAAGGCCCAAACTACAGGGCCGTTTGATAACCATTTCGTTTTCAGTTTTTAGTTTTTGGTTTTTGGTTTTCAGTTTTCACTTTATTGAAAACTGAAAACTGAAATCTTGAAACTCAAGTAGTTTTCCGTTTTCATTTTTTTTTAAATGAAATCTGAAAATAGTTACCAAACAAGATTTCAATTTTCAAAAAAAGTGAAAACTGAAAACGAAATGGTTATCAAACGGCCCCCAAACTACACCAAAGAGAAACAAGAAAACTGCTAAGAGCATCTCCAAAGGAAACATCAAATTTCAATTTGATGGATGACTTGGCAATTTGACGTATTGTCAAGATTTTTCTTCCACCCAATATGCCAAAATTTATTGCTTTATTTATGTTTTTTTAAACAAAATTAATAATAGTTGGGTTGTTATCGGTTTAAAAATAATAATAAAATACTAAAAAAATGCTAGCATTTAAGGTAAGGAAAGTGGAATGCCTTTGGAAATAGCAAAATCAAACTTGAAGGCAGCTTCAAATTTGACATCTCTTTGTCCATGTCATCTTTGACATCTTGGTTGGAGTAAATGGTATGTTAATTGTTACTGTTATACGTCTATGTGGCATTTTTGACATCTCCTTAGGAGATGGTCCAAGCCAACAAGGCCAAACTAAGGGGCTGTTTGATAACCATTTCATTTTCAGTTTTTAGATTTTGGTTTTCAGTTTTCACTTGTTGGGCAACTACTTTCAGTTTCAGTTTTCAGTAAAAAAAAAAAAGAAAAGTGAAAACTCAAGGCCAAATTTTGAAACTCAAGTAGTTTTCAGTTTTTTTTTTTTTTTTTTAAATGAAATCAGAAAGTAGTTACCAAACAAGATTTCAGTTTAAAAAAAATGAATACAAAAACTGAAAACTGAAAACGAAATGGTTATCAAACGGCCCCTAAACTACATCCTTAGAGAAAAAGAAGACAAATCCAAGTAAAAGATCAGGCAGGCATCCATAAAATGACCTCCTTATACAGGGGACTTTCTTATCAAGCAATTCGAAAGAAAAGGTAAAGAAAATTTTGTT